TGTGGGGCTGCAGGAGCGTGGCACAGCAGCCTGGGCTTGCTTACCTGCTTGTCCCACCAGCGTCCCAAGGAGTGCCTGGGCTGGGGCGGGAGGAGAGCAGCTTCCTACAGACATGGCTGATGTCCCGAGCTCCCGGGGTCCCTCCAGCCCAGCCTCGCTCTCCTGGTTCCTTAACGTGACTGGGGTTTGGGGACAGGAAGGACATGGGGTGGGGTTTCACTGTCCCTTTTCCTTAGGATGATACATCGAGCATGTTCATGAGGCTCCCCAGGTTCCCGTGGGCATCTGTGTGTCTGATTCTCGTGGCTGGGTGGTGCCCCGTTGCACGCACACCACCTTTTGCTCTTCCGCTCCCTGCTGATGGGCATCTGGGTCGTTTCCTCTGGGTGTAGTGACTCATGCCCGAGCATGACCTAAGTGTTTGTTGGAACATGTCTTCGATTCTGTTGGGTTCATACCTAGGAGCTGCTACATCATCTTTAACAAGAAACTGTCAGGCTGTTTCCCCAAGTGCCTGCACCACTTAATACTCCCACCAGAGGACTCCAGTCTCCCCACGTCCTCACCAACACCTATTTCCCACCTTTTGGGGGACAGTCGTCCTATTGATTGTGATACGGCTTCTTGTTGTGATTTTCTTTCTTTTTTTTTTTTTTTTTAGGTAGTAGGGTCTTAACCACTGAGCCACATCCCCAGCCCTTTTTATATTTCATTTAGAGACAGGGTCTTGCTTAGGTGCTGAGGCTGACCTAGAACTAGCCATCCTCCTGCCCCAGCCTCCCAAGCCACTGGGATTACAGGTATGCACCACTGCACCCAGCTTCTCTTTAATGGGGCCGTTTCTCTTTTTACTGTTCAGTTGTAAGTGTTCTTTATATGTTCTAGATATGAGTCCCTCATCAGAAATATGTTTGCAAATATCTCCTCCCATTCTATGGTTTCATTTTCTAGACAGTGCCTTTTTCTTTCCCCCCCCTTTGGTACCAGGAATTGAACTCAGGGTCACTTGACCACTGAGCCACGTCCCCAGCCCTATTTTGTATTTTATTTAGAGACAGGGTCTCACTGAGTTGCTTAGCACCTCGCTTTTGCTGAGGCTGGCTTGGAAATCGTGATCCTCCTGTCTCAGCCTCCCGGAGCCTGGGATGACAGGTGTGTGCCACTGAGCCCAGCTGGACAGTGTCTTTTGAAGCACAAAAGTTTATGTTTTGATGAAACAGTTTTCTTTTGTTGCTTGTGCTGTGGTGTCATACTGAAGACACTGTAGCCTAACTCAAGGTCATGTAGATGTGAACTTATATCATCTTCTCAGAGCGTTTGAGTTTGGGCACTAACATTTGAATTTTTAGTGTATTTTGTGTTAATTTTTGTAAAATGCTATGACGTTGGGGTTCAAGTTCATTCTTTTGCACTTGGATACCCAGATTGTTTTTTTAATCATTAGCAAGAAACATTGGAGTGGACTTCCTTTAGTTTCCTGGTGGCTTTTTTTTTTTCAATAAATAGCCATTGAATTTTGCTGAGATGTACATGGAACTAGCCTGGAATTACTAGTTATTTGAAAAATGACTTTTAACATGGGACAGCTATTTCTTTTGTTGTGTGTGTGTGTGTGTGTGTGTGTGTGGTGCTGGGGACTGAACTCAGGGCCTCATGCGCCATAGGTAAGCACTCTCTGACTGAACCATGCCCCTCTCAAGAGAGCTGTTTCTCCATTCAGTCCCATAGTCACTATTTATTGAGCACCTACTATGCATTGGTGGCTAAAACAAAGCTTCCTGCCCTCACAGAGCTCATCACATAGTACACGGGAGGGTGGTAAGTACCATCCAGCCACAGGTATATGAGGCTGGGGTGGGGCTTGCAAATTTGAAAAGGGTGGTCAGGGTGGGCCTCTGGGGAAGAGCATTCCAGGTGGAGGCCACTGCCACTGGGAATCACATCAGGCAGGAGTGTGCCTGGCACCTCTGAGGAGCCTGGTTGGCTGGAGCAGGGTCTCTGGGGGGTCTCGCACACCGTCTTAGGGAGTTTGACTTGTACTGTGAGGGGGCTGGGGATGCACGGGGGCATCTGAGCTGAGCCCTGAGCTGATGTGGCTGTGGCTCTAGGCGTCTCTCTACTGCTGGGTTAAGAATGGATTGTGGGAGGAGCAGGAGGCGGTCAGAGGCTTCTGGAAGAGTCCAGGTGGGAGGGAGGGTAGCGGGGCCTGAGAGGTGGCAGCGGAGGTGGTGGGAGGGATCTGGAGTCCCAGCTGTCCTGGCTGACTGGAGGGCAGGGACGGCCAGGAGTCAGAGGTGACTGCGGGGATTTGGGCCTGGGCACTGGAAGGCGGGTATTGCCGTCAGCCATGACGGGAGGTGGGTTTGGGTGGAGAGTTCATCTGGGGCCTTGGAAATCCTCTTCGACTTCCAAGAGGAGTCAGGGAGGCACTTGGGTATTTGAAAATGGGAGGTCGGGCCTGAGATGTAAATGTGGAGGAAGCAGACGCAGGGAGATACCTGAGAAGACCGGCGGAGAGCAGGGCCGGGCTGCACCCGAGGACCCTCCAGCATCCAGAGGTCAGAGGTGACAGGAAGAAGATCTGGAGGCTGAATCCAGGGCAGTCCTGCTGCTGCCTGGGAACGTCCTCTTCCCCCCCATGTCCACCCTCCTTTCCACCTCCTTCCTTTAGGTGGGCACCTCCGGGTGCCAAGAACTGGAAGCACACGCTTGGCCCTCATCGACTCACGGCCTCCCACAGGAGAGAAGGACGAGGCACCCGAGCGATAACGTGGCCACAGGCAGCACCACAGTGTGGGACTGGGCGGCCAGCTCCACGCAGGGAAGCAGCAGGCGTCTGGCATCGCAGCTCGGGCCTGAACCAGGAATCGCGTCACCCTTCCCCTCCGTGTTGACTGTAAGGACTGTTGGAAGACACTCACGAGATCACCAAGCTGAATCCACTCCTAGTTGTGGAAAGGAGGACACAGAAGACAAATCCAGACCCCCAGTGTGTCCCCTGTCCTTCAACACAAAGCTAGCCAGGCCAGCCCCTGGGAGGCGAAGTCACAGAAGCCAGCAGTTGGCGCGGGGCTCCCAGGCCTGAATCACCAGGACCTTCTGAAATCATTCTGAGCCTGGCACCAGCCTCGGCAAGCCAGAACCTTTGGTCTAAGAACCGAATTTCATTTTTCCCCCTTTCAGAGATGGGGTCTGGCTATGTGGCCCAGGCTGACTTCAAATGCCTGGCTCAAGAGACCCTCCTGCCCCAGTGCCCCAAGCAGCTGGGACTATAGGAGTGTACCACTGTGCCCAGCCAAGATGAAAAAATTTAAAAGCTTCAAAGGACTTCCTAAGGTACAATTGTGGGAGACCAACCTCGCACGTGCTGGGCGATGTGGCGTCAGGCACCCGTGCTGCTAGACTGTCCCGCTCTTCTAGGGTTCGAGTGACTGTGTCTTCCTGCCCAGGCTTGTCTTGCTACAGCCCCATGGGAACACCTGTTCCTTTGTAATATAACCCCTTGCCCTGTTTAGGATAGAATCTTCCATGTAAGTGCTTTGTGTGTGTCCCCTTCTCTTACTGTGCCCTTGGGTGTGGCCTACCCAGGTGTCAGTCAACCTGCTGACAGTGACATCATGAAGATAGACTCAGCCCCCTGAAACCTGACCCCTTGCCTCCTTTGAATAGCTTCTCCTCAGTAACAGGGGTCGGTGCGTGCGCGCGCTTGTGTGTGTGTGTGTGTGTGTGTGTGTGTGTGTGTTTTCTCTCTCTTCCTGCGGACCCTTAAGGTCAGAGGAGCCGTCACAGCGATCCCAAATAAAAAGGTATTTGTGTCTCTTGTGTGGTTATTTTGCTCAGCCCAGTTAGCCCAGTTCAACTGGAGTGACCTCTGAGCCTTTTAGTCATGAACAGAACCCGGCAATATAGTCAGGAGAACCACCTAAGATTTTATTAAATAATACTAAAATTTGGGAACCATATAATAGTTCCTCAAAGTATGAAAATCTTTTTTTTTTTTTGGTAGCAGAGATTGAACTCAAGGGCACTTGACCACTGAGCCACACTCCCAGCCCTTTTTTATATTTTATATAGAGACAGGGTCTCACTGAGTTGCTTAGCACCTCCCTAAGTTGCTGAGGCTGGCTTTGAACTCGCGATCCTCCTGCCTCAGTCTCCCCCGACGCTGGGATTACAGGTGTGCACCACCGTGCTCAGCTAAAGTATGAAAATCTTAGTTTCGGTTCATTCCTTTGGTAACAGACCTTAAGGAAATGGTTATAATCTGACTTTGCAAATGATCCACAAATCGGCCTGCTCTGGGATTAACACGCCTGTCTCTGTTCTGGCTGCTGGAACCAAACAGCGCAGGCTGAGTGGCTTATAAACACAAAAATGTCCTGCTCACAGTTCTGGAGGTCCTGGAGTCCCAGGTCAAAGTGCCAGCAGATTCGTGTCTGGTGACGGTCCCCTCCACAGAGACGGCATCCTCTGTGGCACAGGGTGGAAGGGCTGAGGCGTCTCAGGCCTCCTGTATCGGGTGCTAGCTCCATTCCTGAGGCCTCTACCCCTGGCCTGGTCACCTCCTAACGGCCCACCTCCTAGGACCTGTGGGTGGAGGACAGTGTTGAGACCTCAGACCCCACCCCAACACACACAGCTCAGAGCAGAAACAATGAGCCTTCAGCTGACGCCACGGACTTCATAATCTTGCTCAGTAAAACTTGAACACCTCAGGTTTTAAACTGCCATTTGTCACCAGTGAACTCCAGCTTTTCCCCCTTAAAGGTCCCTGAGGCTGGGAGGGAGCCCGGGGTACAGCACTTGCCTAGCAAGCTAGCGGCCCTGGGTCCCATCCCCAGCATCACAAACGGACAAAAAAAAAAAAAAAAGATTCCTATTGACTTACTGATTCATTCTTGAAGCTGAAGGACAAAATTAAGCACGAGACCAAACAAGGACCCGCTTCCTTTGCTGCAATTTGAACGGACCCGGTGACCTATGAGCCTTAGGCGTCAGGCTGCAGGAAGAAACCAGCACTGGAAAGCTTTATTAACGAAAAACGAAAAACTTCTAGTTTATTAACAAGATTCACATAATAATAACTGTACAGCTCCTTCTCCGTCAGTGTCACTCATGAAACGGCCACTGTCTTTACAGAAGGGAGGAGTAGGCAGACTTTAAAGTCGTTCTGATAAATAGATCGCCGCGCTGCACCCGGCCTGGATAACGCTCTTCAGGACGACGTATGCTGGGGCCTGTTAGAAACCACAAGGGGGGTGGAGGGGTGGAGGGGGTGGAAGGG